CTATTACCCTCCGTTGTTGTCTTCGGTCGAGTAGTCTAGTAGTTTTTGTTTAACAACGTTTTGTTACTACTTGGTGTAATTAATTAATACTTTTTTTTTTTTTTTTTTTTTTACAAGAATTGAATTATGAATACTGTTTTTTTTTCCTTGTATTATGATAATCTGGAGTTTCTGAGATAAGGTGTTCCTTTATTTGAAAACTGAGGAAGCTTTGGTTTGTTATTTTTTGTCTGTGAAAAGGTGACTCTGATGTGTCAAGTGATCTCATGACACATTGTTCTTTTTTGTTATGCAAGTTTTACTCAAGGGAAGTTAAAGTGATGGTTTGAAAGAATCTTTCCATCAGTTCTTTGTACTTTAGAAAGAATATATTATTGTGTAATTATTTAAGTAATGCATAAGGACCAGCAGTTTCTTTATGTAACAAATTTACATATTTAATACACTTTAAAGTTAATCTTTGAATAGAGGCCTATGAAATATTTGATATTTGTTCTTCAGACTACAGAAGAATGGAAGGTGACTTATCCAAGTGTTCAGAATTGCTAAGGGATTCTTTATTAAGTGGAATAAAATGTTCAGAAATATGAACTGAACTATCAGGGTTAATAATTTAAAACTTTAGAATCCTAGATGCAAACTATTTTGGCAGTAATATTTTTCAGTATGTTATAATGTTGTGAAAGTGTTTGCCTAATGTTTCTTGTGTGTGTAGTCAGTTTGAATTATTCTACCATGTAAATGTATGTTAGATGATTACATCTATATAGATGTAAAAGGCAAATTTTAATTTATTTTTTATAATATTGTTGTTTTGATGAGTGAGGGGTGACTTCAATGGGCTGATGGCCTTCTGACATTTTGTTTTAATGATCTTAACATACATAGACTAGACTCTTGAGGGTTAACTTATGTATATATGGTGTGGATAAGTGACGCAGTGTATTTAGTACGGACATGGTGGGAATGAAGTAATTAAAATAAATATGATTGATAATTTTCAACATACAGCAATGTCTGGTTCTATTTCAGATTGTGAAACATAACTTTTCCCCAGCATATTCATCATGAAATTTTCAGGAGATAATTTAATTACATTATATTAAAGAAGAGCTGATTTTTTTTGGAAACTAAAATTTTCTTGCCCCTGTTATTAATAAACTTGTTGTAGAAGTTAGGACAGACTTTCACTATCTACATCCTTCAGATGGCATCTTAAAGATATTCTAGTTCTGGCATATGTAAGTCTCAAGTTGAACAGCTTCTTTATTTAAACTACATCCCAAGGCTCTTTCTGCCCTACTAAGAATACACAAGTTGCTAGATAAGACATCTAAGTAGGAAATAATGAATGGAGCTGTTTGATGTAGTTGTTGAAAACACTTCACATTTTTCTGAAACATTTGAAAGTAGGACTGTTGTACATGTTTGTTGAGCTTTATTATGCAGTAAAGAACAGAAATAAAATAATGGTCTGTGTTTTAGTGCTTGTGTGGGTAAGGTTTGTCTCAGAAAATTAAAAATCATAGAAGATCTGGAGATGTATGGTTTTGTATTATAGTTACTTTGTTCAGTTTAATGAAACCTTTGGCTTAGATATATACATAAATATACATATAAAAGTTTGTTATCATTGTTATATGTACAATGATATATATGAAGCAATTGACCTGCAGCTATCATAACTTCCTTTCCTTCAATAGTTAGTCATTTACTGTTTACTGGATGGAGTGCAAGAAAATATTCTGAAAGTAAAAATTGTTTCATTTTTTCAAGATGTGACTATGCTTCTTTTTAGGCATCTCCACTATCTGGCTCTCCAGCCAACTCTTCTGTTAACAATTTCATGTTATTTTTTATGTTAGTTTCCCTGTATTGTAAGTTGGCTGGAAATATCCTGCATATTATTATGTAACATATGTCAAAATGACATCTTGTGTAGCATGAAATGCATTTGAATGTTCATAGAAATGTTATATAGAACAATGTGTACTTGAAATGTCCTTTTATACTTAACTCATCACATTATTTATCAATTCACATGTATATTATGCTGGATAAATATGTATATATATATATATATATATACACAGTCTTACATATATATTTCTAGTTCAAAGTTGTTAAACATTAATTTAAATTCAAAAAACAGATGAATATAGGTTACATGATTCTTAAGAAATCTGAAGACCAAACTGTAAGGATGTTTAAACATAACATTTTATGTGTGTTTTACATTGTGAGACGTATTGAAATTACACTGTTTATGCAGTATTATTTTAAACTAGTATATATGTAGGCTTCTGAAGCAGTGACAGATATTAAGAGGTGTGCACTGGTGCAGTTAACCTCCAATAAGTTTGGTGCATCATAACATTTTTTGGTTTTTACTTTAAAGAACACAAATGACATGGTTAATGTAGCACAGAATAATAACATTTCTACTTAAAATATTAACTTTACAACATATGTTATATGGACCAAATCACCTTTACTGAAGTAACACAACAAATACAAGACATTTATTATTGTGCATAAAATTGGTTACATTGTTGTATGTTAGTTAATGTTCTTTTTTCTTTTTTTTGCAATGTCAAGTTGAGTTTTTCAAAAGAGTAGTCCATAACAAAATGTAATGTCTAAAACTGAAGTGCTTGTAAAAGATTTTGTACCGTAATTAAATATAGAAATTAGTCCACAAATTAATTTTTAGTTGTTCTTCAACATACATTGTTTTGATATGCTTAAAATGTATTAAATGTATAATTAACATTTATTAGTTCTGTAATATAGTTGCTGAAATGTATGTAACCAGAATATTTCTTATCCAATACTTCTTGTCTTAATGTCATGAATTTTGTACCTAGACATCCCTATAATTTCAAATATGTCTGCTGCTATTCTGAAGCTTGAATAATTATTTCCTGCAATATTATATATTCTTATACTTAAGTGTCACTGTTCATGTAAATTATGAATATTTTAATTTGTTCCACTAAGACAATTTATGCTAAATTACAAAATGTTCTTTCAGTTCTGTGAAGGCTTCTTTCTCTTTCATTATATATTTCTTAGTTTCATAAAGTATAATTGCTTTGATAATTTTTAAATTACACTTCAACCTATTGTGTTATCTGAGTATAGTTCTTAATTTCTCAATGAGATTTCAAACTTTTAATTACTGAATTATTTTCTTTTAGGTGTAACTTTTCAATGTATAATTGAAGAATGAAAATAATGGTATAATTGTACTATATGATTTTGATCTCTGTTCTTGTAAAGTTTAGAAGTTCATCTTACTACCAAACTGAGAAAAAAGAGAAGGTAACTTGTTTGGTCTATGGTCATTGTAATGAATTTTTTTTATATTTGTGTAGCTGGAAGAGTATTTTTCTCTTTTACTATATGATAATCAGTGTATGGTTTCCAGTGGAATAAGTAGAAAGGTTTATTAATCTTGAATTGTGTATAAATGTACACTTTGTTTGGAAGTGTCTGTTTTGTACTGGTAGATTGAAAACTTGTATGTGTGATGCTACTACATGAAATGCTATACTTACCAGACAGAGACTAGCAGTTGATGATCCAGCACAAAATCTATCCATGTTTGGTTGGACAGTGATGATTTCTGTCATCTGATCATGCTGGACTTAGTTGTAGATATTGTTTCTTTAGTCATAGTGGGTGTTTGTGTGGTTTAAGTGTACATGTTCTCAAGGTCTTGTACTGGTATTTTATAAGACAAGCACAATTATGTTTATAAAGTAAGTACTCTATGTTTAAAGTATGAGATCTTAATGATCATAAAATGACTTAAGAAGTAGTTATTTTTTAATCTTTTGTATTTTTAAATTTTGCTTATCATATATATAGTACTTACATGTAAATGGATTTTGTTTGCTTCATCTTAGACAGAATAGAAACTTGTATTTCACTCACACCTACTTAAAAGTAATTGGCCAATTATAAGGCATATATACATGTATACGAAGAATATATAAATAAAATATTATGAGTTAATGTGCTAAATATGCATGAGAATTTGTTTTCTCAAATCTGTGGGTCAGTATCAGCTCTCTAGTTTTATTATGTACATTTTTAGAGATGTTAAATTCTCTTAATGATTTTTTTTTCATTTGAAGGAAATTCTTTACAGAAAAGTTAGTTTTGCCTTTATATTGCTTTTGTCATGTTTATTTTAGATCTGCATAAATATCTAGTTATCCAAGCTTCACATTTCAGTTTTAAGAAATTTGTTAAGTACATTTTTAGACTTTGTGGATTTTTGAAACTGTGGTGTGGTGTTTATTTCTGGTTTACTACATTTAAGTATAATTCACACACACACACACACACACACACACACACACACACACACACACACACACACACACACTATTATATACATACTACATACATACTATATATACTACTCTATTCGTTTCCTTTCCTACTTCGTTTCTTTCTTTTCGTTTGTTCGTTGTAACTTAAATTA